GGGAAATAATTAAGGTAGGAATGTTGAATGAGAGTAATATATTAAGAAAAGGGGCTAAGGAGGTGGGGGTGCTTATTTAAGGGGAAATTTTGGGTTATGTTGTTTTATGCAGAATTTGAGTTATGCTTGCTGTAATTTTCTTTTGTGAGTGCCTCCTAGCGGCGTTTAGGTTTAACGGGAGAGACAAGCTACCCCTCTTATATGAAGATCGTTGTATCTTACTTTTGTATTGGAGCATTAATACAAAAATCATCCTTTGTTTCTAAACTTACTACTGTTCTTGCTGTATTCTCTCGTTGTTTTCATCTTAAGGCTTACTACTTTTACCCCATTTGTTGCACACTACGTAGATCTCATATTTTAGAAACTTGGGGAGTTACCCCAGCATTATAATGAACTAATTGAAGCCATGAAGATTAGTAAATTCATATATAATCATTATTGGGTTTTGATACTGATGAGAAGACTTTCAAATACAAAGTTCCTAAGGCCTACTGCAACAAGGTTTGCCATAGCTTATTTGATATTGCCGAGTATATTAGGGGCAAGGCAACATTTATAGACTATATTTACATCGACTCAGTGATTGAGTTGTGCATGAGCAAGAAAGGTTGAGGGAAAAGGGGTCAGGAAAATTGTTCTGAACCATACACTTTTGCAAAGTATACCATATGTATAACACCAATTAGGCCACTGATGCAAGTATTGAGCATGTTTGATGCTGAGAAGCATGTGATTGATTCCAAGTAGAGAGAGAAGCTCCACAAATTTAGGAAGAATTTGGAAGATCTTGAAGAATTCGTGTAGCATTGATTGGAGATGGAAGAAGGTGGCCGGTCATCCAATGATGATCGGAACACCAAAAATTCGCTATCTACCGCGAGTCCATTCACGTTGGATTCAAAATGTAGAGTCTCCTTAAATCGAATCTCTTCTTTTCGGGATTTGGAATCCCCTCTTGTCATTAAAGAGGGAGGCTTAAAGGCTAATGATAAACCTTTGCCGATTTTAGGCAAAAGGAAGGAAATTAATTCGGTTTTGGATAATCCTAAACCTTTGAAGGTTCTCTTTGGAGCAATTGTCAGGGAAGCATCTTCTTCAAAAGGTAGTTTTGCTGAAATTGTGAAGAAGGACATGGTTATTCCAATTACTTCTCCAAAATTGGATAACTCTAATGTGTGGACTAAAAAACCTCACATTAAAATTAAATTAAGTGAGATTCCTGAAATTTTGGGAGAGGAAAATGTTGTCATCTTGGACAAGGAAAAGGAATTATCTAATGTTCAAATCTTGAACAATTCCTTGGTTGTTAAAATTCTTAGAAAAAATTTTCCTTTTTCTAAGTGTTCATTGGAATTAAGAAAGAAATGGTCTAAATTTGGTAGTTTTCATATTACATTGCTTGGCCTTGATTGGCTTCTTTGTTCTTTTCAAACTCTTGAAGCCATGGAGGGAGTCCTTAATGGGGGACCATGGCTAGTAGGGGGTTTTGTGGTTGGCTTAGACATTTTGGTCTCAACCTTCTCTTCTTTATTCTTGAATGGGATTTCTTCTCCAATTTGGGTTCGTCTTCCACATTTACCTTACATTTTGGTTGGATGCCCAATATCACTAGAATTGTTTCTAGGATTGGAACTCCTCTTTTATTGGATGGTAATATGGTTTTAGATGGGGAAGGGAGAAATATCGCTAGAGCTTGCATCGAGTCAAGTTGGATTCTAAACTCCCTGCTGGAACTTGGGGTAGAAGGTGTTCATGGTAGATTTTTTTTCAGAATTGAGTATGAAATCTATCTTCTATTTGCTTAATTAGTGGGAAAATCAGACACATTGATCTCCATGTGTCCAAAATTCACCTCAAAATCAAAATCCTATTGTCAAAAGGTCCTCAAAAATCATTTCATCTTGATAATACATTTGGGACCTTGGATGCAACTGAAATCAAAAAATAAGAGAAGAGCGTTTTCAGATTTTGAAGAAGCTTCTACCATGGACAAACCAAAACTGTTGTGTTATTTCCATGGTAAATGTTGAAAAAAAAAAAATTGGAGGATAATCAAATCTGCTATTTTTCGGATTCCAGAAAGGATGCTGAAATCACGTAGAAGATGAAGAACTCCAAAAGCAATTTGAATTAAATTAATGAATCTAAAATTCCGGTTTCTGTGGATGAAAGCAGTGAAGACGTAGTTGCTGAAGCGGTTGCTGAAAATCAGACTATACGGACATCCGTGAAATGGAAAACTGCTTCCATTTTCGGGATTCCTCAAAAAAAAAAAAAAAAAAAAAAAAAAAATTTTCAGAATTTGAAATCCCACATATCATGGAGTACTAAGTTTGGTTGGGAGTTTTTTTCCAGATTGGTTTATATCAATTCAATTGGAACTAAATGCTGTTTCCGACGAGTTTTGCCTAATTAATTGGAGATTGAAAATCAAAACCATTAAAAGTGGAGGCATTCAAGGAAAAGATAGAGAAAGAACAATTTGATTTACTCTTCTACGCTGCACAACATTCAAAGTTCAGAATGACTCCTAACAAAGGCCACCGAGACTCCTAAAATTGCTGAATTTTTTGGAGAAAAAAATTAGCTTTGGATAGATTAATCTATTTGACGGCAGATGTTAATAGTAATGATATCTTGAACTCTTCTCTACTCCATTACTGTTAGCCTTGAATTTCTCAAAAAAACTATCTTAAGAAGATAACTTTTTTAAGAATAATGTTACACCCGAGCAAAGCATGTTTTTCAAGGGAACTTTCAAGGGATTGGGTCCGTGAAAGAATTGCCAAAGAATGGTGAAACACAAGGAGAAGAACATGTTTTAAAGGCTCTTTCCTTTATTCATTGATATGAAAAAGGATTCTTCAGTGGATAGCAACAACAGAGAGATGCTTTTGAAGATGGAACACAAGGTCTTCAAGTTTGGCAAAGATTTACTGAAGTTATGGAATTTTTCATTGAAATGTATTTTCATTATTAGTTTTTATTTTCTTTCCCTTCCTTTAATTTGTTATTTTAAAATTTGCTTAATTGTTTATGTGGTCTTTACTATTTCTTATTCTCTAACTGGATGGGAACTCTGGGATACTAATCAACCCTCGGGTTGTTTTATAACTTGGTATCCCCTGCATCTCAACAGTTTCAAAATAGGTTATAGTGGACTTCATTACAATTATAATAAGTTTAAAATAACAAATTTAAGTTTTAATAAGATACTTTTTCATGTTGAAAAATGTATCATTAGCTTCTTTTGCCTAGTTTGTATTTGATTTTCTTCGTTTTCTTCTTAATTGCAATTTTTGCATCTTCTCAAAAAAAAAAAAAAAGATGCTGAGAAGCATGCAATGGTTTTTATATATAATCCAATAGATGAAACAAAAGAGTTGATATCTCATAACATAGGAGAAGAAGACAGTAGCTACAAGTGGGAGCTATAACTTCATCGTCATTTACATATTGCATGCTACTATCCTTAATTTTTGTCTGCAGATAATAAGTTAATAAATCCTGAGATAAATTGTGTCTATATCATTTTATAGATAGGCTTATTGCTGAAGCATTTGAAAGAGCAAATGCAACTATGTAGTTGGTACCTTTCAGAAATAAGGAGGGCTTCTTTGGGTTATAGCAAGTGAAAGATAGTTGCTAAACAATTTCCAATTAAATTGTTTTGTTTAAATTTTGCTAGAAAAATTTATTTTTTAAAATTATTTTTTCCATTTATACTTATTTCCTCATTCCTTAGTTGAGTGGTAGATTTAATTTGGTAATGACACTCCAGATATACAATATTTCACTAGTTTTGGAGTCACAACTGTAACATGTATAATCAAGTTTATACTAACATAATTGGAGCATGTATAATCAAATTTATACTAAAAGGAGAAATCATCAAACGACCTTAAGAATGAATTCCTTAATATACATCACGTGCAACAAGAGATTCGATGACAAAAATTTGAAGTAGAAAGAGTTAAAGGATGACGTGCATCTTTTGCTTTATGAAGATAGGTCATCAAATGATGAATGATTTGTGGACGATGAAGTTGAATTTATAACATATGATTTACAAGAATAAAAAATTCCCTAAGTGATGAGGTTCATATGAGGTTCTATTTTTTACAACTTTGGATAGCATAGGTGATGGGGTTCTATTTGTTACGACTTAAACGAAGGCTCCATGAATGATGACAAACAAATGTCTTTTGAGTGAGTTTGGTATTACATGTTACGTTTATTCAATTCTTATATTTTATATCATTTTGACTGATTGATGTATACATTAAAATTATATTTCACGTTATTTATCCCTTATCACTATATGTCCAATATTTAGCTTCATATGTTTGCCAATTTGTTACTTAATAATACAATAGAATGTTAGTATGTCATTTAATATATTATTTATTTATGATGCTAAAAAATTTCTTCTAACATTCATTTTTGATTTATGCAAATTCTGAATTATGAGACTTATGCCTTGCCTTAAGATGGAAATGCCATAATACTTCGCACAATTTTAAATTTTGATCAACATTATTGAGAATTATTGCCAAGCATAACTTCAAATGATGTAGTACCTTTTTCTTTTTTTTTTTAAACTGATGTAGTACCTTATTAAAACTATTCTGCATTTTATACGTATCCTGGTGAATTAATCCCTATTTGTACTTCCAAATAAAGCTCTTAAGTCTCTTCAAATATAATGATACTGTATAATATATGACATTTTGTTTTTATGCATCTATTCGTACAGATGCCTTCAAGTTCAGAATTCCGTTTTACCGCCAATTTTTGTAAGATATATTTGTTAATTCATTGTTTTGCTTTCAATTGCAAGGAAGTAGGTGAGGTCAATAGTTGCTGAAAGGAACTAAACTTTTTTAATTGCTTTGTTTTTAGTTTTCTTTAAACACTTTCATTCTCTCTAATTGTTTGCATTAACAGTAAAATTTCGCAACTCATTTTGTCTAAAATTATATGATTTTCCGTTACAGGGTCTAGCATTGGCCATGTATAAGAACAAGGAAGGCCCTGCTGCTTTTGACTTGTTGTATAAGGCTCAAGATCTTGCACATCGCGAGAGGAGAGTAAGTGAGGAGAGGAGCATCAAAATCTTAATTGCGCAGATGTATGTAGTGAAGGTAACAAGGGATTCTTATCCTTTTTGCTATAAAAGATGCTTATATAAGTTGATGCGTTGCAAATAATTCTTAGTGAATCAGTATTTGCTTCGTTTCTGATCCTTATATTTGACAAGTAAGTTTTTATTCTATTTCTATTAATTTTATGGATGTAGGGTGATTTAGAAGTGGCTTTAAAACAATTTGAAGATCTCATCAAGGAAGATCCTCGAGATTTTCGGCCTCATCTATGCCAGGTACGCTAGTTTAATTGTAATTGTTTTTCTGTTAGACCATCCATTTATGAACCGGGCGCTGTACTGCGTTCATCAGGTTGTGCCATAAACTCTTCTGCCTTCAACATGCAACCGAAATAGGCGTTATAAGCTTGAAAAAAATACAAAAAAGAAATTTCAACAGCTCACCTTATCCTAATGGTTTGGTACTCTAGAGCTAATCACAAGATCTTGGATTTAACTACTAGTATATACGGATGTCTGCTTGAATTTATGGTTAAATTTGCCCAATATAGCCAAATTTTGTTTCAAAAGTTGTTAAAAACATCGGAGATAAATCTTTCTTGATCACACAGCATAAATATTTTTAATTTTTGGCCTTCTACATTAAATTATAGCCATGTTATCTTATTTTGTTTTAAACCTTCCATGGTAAATACTTCATATCATTTAACTATTTATGTAAGTTACTACTGTTTCTAACTGTCTCAGGGGATTATCTATAGCTTACTAGAGAGGAAGACAGAAGCAAATGAGCAGTTTGAGATTTATCAGAGCCTTATCCCTGACGAATTCCCACAACGGGGCTTTATTGATGATGTAATTCTTGCAGCCAAAACTGAATCCCAAGAACAACTGAGGAAGGAAGTTCAATCAGAAGGCAATTGATCCGCACATAAATTTGGTCAGAACTCAGAAGGCAGTCAATCTATAGGTTTTATTGATCATTTCCTTCGTTGCGGTGTGGTGGAGGGGAATGGTTGTTTGAAAGCTTCATTATTCGGTTAAGTTCTATAACCTATTCAAATCTTTCACATGTACTGAGCTGCAGAATGGCATGGTTATGCAGTCTACAAACATCGTATCTCAATTTTAATTAGGGGTTGCAAGCAGTAGAATTTTATTGACATGTAAAATAAATGCAACATATTTTAAATCTAGGAAATTATTGTGTTTTGTTTTAAAGTTAACAATAAAATAAAAAAAGCAAACTTAGGCAACAGATTTGCAAGTAGACTGAAGTATTTTGATGACACCTGAAGTTGGTATTTGGCATGAGTTAATTCGGCGGTGTCTTGGGGATTGTGACGTGCGTTTTGTGTGGATAAATTGTTCTGTGCGGAGTCTGGATGTAGCTTTGCGTTCAGACCCCAATAAAATCTTGACGTGTGGATTGCCGATGTTGATATTAATCTATATTCCATTTTGTTATTTTTGATTTTTTCTTGCCTTGCAGTTCGACCCTAGAATGCCGTTTCCATACAGTTCAATTTAGGGTTGGTGCTTCTTTTTTCAAGATTTCAACCTCGAAAGCTCCGTAATATATAAAGTTTTAGCTTAAGAAATTTTTTCATATAAGTTAAGAAAGAAAGAATAGAGAAAATGCCGATGAAGATGAAAACTGATTTGGAGGACGATTCTTTTTACGCTCATAGGATACGGAGCCCTAAAATTGGCATGCAGATGTCCAGGCAGTTGAAGTTAAAAGAATTGGAAGTAAAGGGAAAATTGGGTTTAGGAGATTTAGCTTTCAACTTATCATTAAAATTCAAATCCTTTCAAGTTTTCTTTATAGTATATAGCCATTATGCACATTTTTCAAATTAATGCATATTACTCCAGATTATCTATATTTTCAAATTAATGTATATATGTGAACACTAACATTATACATTTTTAAAATTAATGCACATTTTAAAAGTTCAAACGTTGCATATTGACTTCATATTTGCTGAGTTTTTTTTTTGTTGTATTTTTAGTGTATTTATTTAATTTTTACTGAGTATTTAATGCGTATTTATTGATTGTTTATTGTGTTTTTTTTTTTTCTTTTTTACTCAGTATTTCTGTGTTTTTGTTGCGTATTTAGAGTGTATTTACTGCGTATTACTAAACATTATCTGTAATTTTGAAATTAATTCACATTTGTGAACTAAAATTAACGCACATTTTTATAGTTCAAATGTAGCATATTGGTTTCATATTTGATGCATGTTTTTGCATTTTTGCTGTGTATTTAATGTTTTTTTATTACTTATTTATTGCGTATTTATTATTTATTTACTGCCTTTTTACTAAAGTATTTATTGCATATTTATTGCTTGTTTTGTGAGTTTTTTTTCTTTTTTATTGTGTAATTGTTGTGTATTTAGGGCATATTTACTACATATGTAAGGTGCATTTACTGCTAATTATTAGGAAGTGTATGAGAATGAGAAAGAGACATACAAGACTTATTGTAATTATACTCATAATGTTGGTTTTAATGTTCGCAAGGGTCATCATAGTTACTTGCCAAATTTTAGAAAAATAAAATGCAAGAATTTTATTTGTTTAAAAATTGGTTTCAAGAAGATGCTTTTTATTAATTTTCAAATGAAATATTAAAAATCAGACATCAGAATTGGTTGTCCATCTATGATTCAGTTTATGATGGATGAAGCTGGATATTGGAAGGTGAAAAAATTATTGAAATGCACAATCATAATTTGTTTAAGTCAGAAGATTGACATCTTTTTAGATCATATAAGAATGCGTGTGATAATAATGCTTTAGTTCTTAAATCAATGATAAAAGTCAGGATAATAAATATTGATGCATTTTTCTATCTTGCTGATGAAGTTGGAGTTGTCCAGAATATTAAATTATTTAAGAGGGATGTATACAATTGTATTAAAAAAGAAAGAATATCAAATATTGAATTTGAGAACACTAATACTTTGATTCATTTATTAAAGATCGTCAAGTTGATGACATTATGTTCACTTGAGATGTCCAAATTGATGAATTTGATAGATTGTTAATTTTTTTTTTTTTTTTTGGGTTTATGAGATTGGTATGATAGATTATGACTGCTTTGGAGATGTGATTTTTGATATTATTTATAGGCTTAATAAGTTTAATTTAGTATGTGTATCATTTGTCGGGGTTAATTATTTTTGATAAAATGTTTTACTTGGGGTGATCTTGTTTAAAGAGACGATTGAATATTTTACGTGGTTGTCACAACTTTTATACGAATAATGGGTGATAAACACCCAAAAATAATATTTACGGATTAAGACCAGACAATGCCTAGGGCCATAGAAGTTATATTACCTCACACTAATTATTGACTGTGGTAATGGCATATCTGTAAAAAAGTTTTGTCAGAAGTGTCATGCTTCAGTAGTAACAACAAAGTCACAGGCTTCTCTAGTGAGTATTTGAGCAAATGTGACTCTGAGGAGTTTGAGAAAATTTGGGCATAAATGATCACAAAAGGGAACCTCCATAATTATGGTTGGTTAGAGGATTTTTATAGGATAAAGAATAAGTGATCAATAACATTCAATAAGGATTATTTTCATACTGTCATTTTATCCATACATCATAGCGAGGATATTAATTGTGTGTGTCATAGTATTTATAAGCCCACAACTTTTATAACTGATTGTTCTTTTTTTTAGAAAAGGTGATGAAGACTTGACGTCGAAATTAGGGTTGTCAATATTTGACATGAACCGAAAACCTGACTTGAACTCGACCCGAAAATTTCGGGTTAGGGTTAACCTGGACCCAAAATGGGTTGGGTTCGGGTTCAATAATTCGGCCCGTTTCAAAAATTGTGTCAGGTTTGGGTTAACCCATTGACTCGAAAGTGACCCGAAATTGACATCATTTTGACCCGAAAACCCATTTTTGACACGAAAACTCAAGATTGGTCTGTTTTTTATTCGTTTTTGAGTTTGACCCATTTTTTGATTTGAAAACTAGCAATTTTTTCATGGTCCCGGGTCATTTGGGTCATGTCGGGTTGACCCGGACTCGAAGCGGGTTGGGTTCTGGTCCGAAAAATTGACCAGTTTGCAAAAATGGGTCGGGTTTGTGTTGACCCGAATAGTGCCGGGTCAATTTTGGGGTTCGTCCCGAACCCGACCCGTGAACCAAAATTGACACTCCTAGCCGAAATGAATAGGATGAGAATTATAAATACAATTGGTCCGTAATAGAATCTGTAATAAAAAGCAGCCCAATATTAAAACAAACTGTTCAATTTTATTCAATAAAATTATATTCATTTTTTGAAGAAGAATTTTTACAAGGTGTTGATAGAATGATTATAGACTTTATGACATTTGATTCATCCAAATTTTTTGTATGTTGCAAAGAGAATAAGGATCAGTTTAATCCTTCGGTTGTTGTTTTTGATGTAAAAGATAGAAGAATTTAATGCTCATACAGGAAGTTTGAGATGATGGGTTTGCTGTGTTCTCATTGCATAAGAGTTTTGAGACAGATGAATATTGTGAAAATCTCTGAGAAGTACTTACTGTTGCGATGGTCAGCAAGAACTCGAATATATATATATATATATATATATATATATCAGGCCGCATGTTAGGATTTTCTCAAAATAATTTTGTAGCTAGTAGTGGATTCATATTCAGAAAACATATCAGCAAGTTTGTATATCAAATTAGCACATGAGTGTAATAGAATGTGGAGATTGAACAATACATATTGGTTGCGATGAATGATATGTCTGAAAATTTATATTTAATTCTTTATGAGAAGTGAAAGAACGACAAGTTTATAGAGGGTGACATTGCAAAAGTGAAAGATGTACTAAAGTGTTGGCCTAAAGGCATCCTTAATACTAGACTAAAAAGCCACTAAAAAAAAAAAGGATGCCAAAGAGTATGATTTAACTTTCTAACTAATTTATTTTAATTATATATAATGAAATATTGTAACTAACTTTTTTTTAGATTAATTTTTTTAACAAGGAAACTACTTGTGAAGGAAAACATAACACAAATGTTTTTACTTTCAAAACAGTGTAATTTCACATGGTTGAATGTTTCACCAAGAAATTCATAATTTGTGTACCCTCTAGTTAATCATCAGTTAAGTACATGAGGTTGATGATGGATATCATTGCTTCAGAGCAATAAATGTAATAAATTTATTTTTAACGATTGGTTGTTAAAGTTAAATATACAATATAATTAAATTTATTTGTATTGATTTATTATTAAATAAATTATTTTATATAAATTTTTGATTAAAAAATAACTTGATTTGATTAATTGAAATCTTAAACTCCTCCTTAGTGCTTTAGTTGTAGTTGTTTAAGGAAACTTTTTTTATTCAAATCTTGAAATCAAATTTTTAATTAATGAAACTTTTATGCTGAAAAATTGCTTTAGATTAATTATATTCCAAGCAAATTGAGCCCAACATTTACTGCATATTCACTGTGTATTTGTTGCATATTTACTTTTTATTTATTGTGTATTTTCTAATTTTTGCTTTTTCAATTCTGGTATGTGTATTTCGCTGTTTGTTTACTTGGGTGCCCTAACATGAGTAATATTTTGTGTTTGAGGTGGTTGAATTGGGTGTCGTTTAGTTCGGTCTTTTATTGTTAGTCCTTTATTGCTGGTTTGATTTTTATTGTTTCCTTTATGTTGGTACATGTATCTCAGTTGTTTGCTTGGCTTGGGGTTGAGTTGGTTGAAGGGCGCTGTTTGGTTCAATCTTATATTGATGGTCCTTTTTTGCTGGTTTGACCATTTTTATTGTTGGTTTGACCATTTTTATTGTTATCTCTATATTATCTTTTGGAGGTATGTGTCGACCATCTTCTCTATATAAGCTGGTTCATAGTTTATTTCTTTCCTTACATGTTATGGAATACAGTGTGTGGTATTCACAAATACTTCAACTGAGTATTTGATGTGTGTTTGCTAAATATTTACAAATACATAGCGAATACCCATCAATCCTAACGGTCCAAACTCCCCATATAATAAATAGTCGATTATTGGATGGCTGTGCATGTTTTAGTGAGTCTATGTATCTGTATATGTAAAGGTAAAACTAATACAAATGCTTCAACTGGTTTAACTAGTGCAAACAGCCAAGATGCACCAATCAATGAGAATGAAAAAAACGTCTTAAAGTTTCAATGCAAACGGAGAACAACTAAGAATTTTTGAGTTTAGTGGAGAGATTTTCCACTATTAATGG